GAGGAAAATGTGCAGCTTTGAGTGCTTATAGTAGAAAAGAGAAAAGGTCTAAAAATCATTGATCTAAATTTCTACTTTGGGAACCTAGGATAAAAACAACAACAAATTAAACCCCAGTAAGTAGAAGAAAGGAAATAAGAAAAAGTGGAATTTTAATACAATACAAAAATAACAGATAAAATCAATAAACTGACAGTTGGTTTTTTGAGAAAAATTAATGAAGTTGATAAACCGCAGGCTACACTGCCCAAGGTAAAAAAAAAAAAAAAAAAAAAAAAAAAACACCCGACAAATTACTAATATCAGAAATGAAAGAGAAAGCATCAATTCAGATCCTACAAACATTAAAAGAATAAAAGAACATTATTAATAATTTCATGCAAATATGTTTGACCATTCGGTTGAAATGGTCACAAATTGATTTTTTTAGGTTTATTTATTTATTCTGAGAGAGACAGTGCGCAGCAGACGGGTAGAGAAAGGAGAAAGAATCCTAAGCAGGCTCCCCACCATCAGTGCAGAGCCCGATGTGGGGCTCATTCTCACTCACCGTGAGATCATGACCTGAGGTAAAATCAAGAGTCATGCACCCAACTGAGCCACCCAAGTGCTCTGAAATGCACCAATTTCTTAAAAGTCACAGCTTGTCAAAATTTGTACAAGAAATACAAAATTTGAATAGTCTATATCTATTAAAGTTGTTAAATTCGTAATGTAAAACTTTTTGACAAAGAAAACTCACAACCCAGATGGTGTTGCTAGTGAATTCTACCAAACATTTAAGAATAAAATAATATTGGGGCGCCTGGCTGGTTCAGTCAGTTAAGCGTCTGACTTGGGCTCAGGTCATGACCTCACAGTTCATGGGTTCGAGCCCCACGTCCGGCTCTGTGCTGACAGCTCAGAGCCTGGAGCTGCTTCAGATTCTGTGTCTGCCTCTCTCTCTGCCTCTCCCCAACTTGTGCTCTGTCTCTCTCTTAAAAATAAACCTTTAAAAATATATTTTCAAAAAGAATAAAATAATGTCAATCCTAAATACTTTCCAAATATAAATAAAGAGAACACTTCTTAAAACTCATTTTTAAAAGCAATGTTTACCCTCATTCCAAAACCAAAGATATTACAAGAAAGCAAAAATAAAGACCAATATCATGCATGCACAGATATAAAAATTCTTTAACATATATTTGCTAACTAAATCCAGCAATGTATAAAATAATACATTGCAAACAAGTATCCCAAGGATGTAAGGTTTATTTTAACATTAAAATGTCAACCAATATAATTGACTACATTAATAAAGAGGAACATTTATATAATCTTCTCAATACACACAAGAAAATTATTCAATAAAATTCAACATCTGTTTATGATAGAAACTCTCAACAAACCAGGAATAGGAGGAAATTCTCTCGGTCTGATAAAGGACAGCTACATAAAAAATCATACCTAATGGTGAAAGACTGAGTGCTTTCCCACTGTGATCAGCAACAAGGAAAGTGGCTCTCACCACTTTTACTCAAATTGGTATTGGAGGTCCGAGCCAGCAGAAATAAGGCAAGAAAAAGAAAAGGATTCAGATAAGAAAGGAAGAAACAGAGCTTTGTTTTCACAAATGACCTAATTGTGTATGTAGAAAATCCTAAGGAATTTCCAAAACCAAACAAAAAACAAAAACGCACCCCCCCAAACTATGAAGTAATAAATGAATTAGCAAGGCTGTAGGACACAAAATAATATACAAAGAATGTATTCCTATATACTGGCAAAAAAAAATTAGAAAAATGAAACCTAACATACACTATCATTAGCAAGTATTGAAAAAACAAAGTAGGTAAGAATAAGTACAAAATGTCTATGCTCCAGGACACAAAATACTGCTGAGAAAAATTAAGGAAGACCTCAAAAAATGGGCAGGTGTACCACGTTCACGGATGTGAAGGTATCAGTTCTCTTAATGTTGATCTACGTGATCGATCTAATGAAGCATCAAGCATCACTTTCTGCTGCTTTTGCTTCCGGAATGTCCCTCAGCACTGGCCTCTTCTCTGCCTCTCCTACCTCCCACCTGGCCAGGACACCGTCACCTCTCTCCTGATGTCTGCGACAGCCTCTCATCGGTCCCCTCCCCATCTGGAGACTCGGACCAGGGAGGCGTCACATAAAACCTGCGCAGCGGCTCCCTACCACCCAGACCTGAGACCCAGGCCCCTTAAATGGACCTCAAGGCACGTACCTACTTTTCCTGCCACATTTTCTGAGCCTACTGCCCACACCGCAGGCGTAGAGAGCTTCTTTCCATCCCCTGAGGGTGCCCAGCTCCTCTGCCAGCCCGCCTGCCCTGCACCGCTGGCCCCAGGCTGGTCTAGGACCACCCCTGCGCGTCGGCGCGTCATCTGTTCCTCGTCGTCAGCACATCCAGATGATCTGTGTGCAGACAGTCCTCAAGGACGGGGTGCTGGGCATCAGGGCCGCATCCATAGCACCCCCCCCCCACTCACAGAGGGGCTTCGGAAGGAAGGGACAGGGGGTCAGGGCAGTGGAGAGGGATGTGTTGATGCTGGAGCATCTTCTCAATAGGCCTTGGCGGTTGACGGACGAGACCATGTCAATCGGACCCCCCCCCACACACACACACCCGCGGTGGCCCAGCATCGCGCCTGCCCAGGCACCAGGCACCCAGAGGGACTAGGACTGGCCCCCGACAGAGCAGCCAGCCCAGCCCGGCCCTGCCCAGCCCGGCCCAAGCCGCCTCCCGCTCCACCAGCCTCCGCTCCTGGCTGGTCTGTGAAGGACAGGCAGCTGAGGATGGGTATAGCCCGAGTCCCGCCCCGTGTCGGGGAGGAGCAGGAGGTGGGGGCGCGTTAGGAAATCGAACACAAGCAGGGCCCTGGCTAAAGCCCCGTGGCCTGGGGTCCTGGATCGCCGGCGTGAGTGAGCTGGCTCCCAGGCCACACGCAGGACGCACTGTCTGTGCAGAAACAGCCTGCACTTGCTGGGAGTCAGAGGAGCAGCTGGATGGTCCCAGCCGGACGGTCCCAGCCGGAGCCCTGCATCTGAGGTCCCCTGGGGAGGGAAGGGGCCCCAGAGCTGCAGAGTTGAGTGCTCCTGGGTGCGGGAAGGCCCAGCCTGCTCCCACAACAACCCTCTCCTTGACAGAGCAGCCATGTCCAAGGCCTTCTGTTGGGCTCCAAAAAACCCCCAAAGTGTCCCTAGGAAAAAATGACTCTTCTTTTCATTTCAAAAGGCAGCACATCTAGCTTAAATCTGTTAGATATTAGGGGAGAGAAAATCTAGTAAAACCAAATGATGCAGACATGGGACACCGAGAAAGAAAAAAAATTATTAACGAAGAGAGAGAGACAGAGAGGAAAGAGCCTGGAGCGTCGGAGAGCCTTGCGCCATGTCCTGCTCGCTCCGGCCCCATCCTTCCTCTCGGCCAGGAAGCCCAGGCCCAGCCAGGCGCCTCCCTGCCCACCGCAGGTGTCTTAGGACACCAGGACCTTGAAACTCACCCCAGCAGCCGTGCTGCCCCCAAGGCTGCCCCAGGCCCAGGGGAAGGAGGGCAGGAGAGGACGGTGGGAGCAGACCCAGGGCCGGGACTGGGTAGCGCACAGCTCCCACGGAGAAGGCACAGTCTGTCTGCCCGAAGCAGGAAGTGAAAATCAGAAACCCAAACAGGAGGTGTGGGGCAAAGTCTGCCGGGAAGGCCTGAAAAGGTGGCGTCCTCACCTGCGCACACCCACCCTGCCCGCCGGGGCCCCCGGACACAGGAGGGGGCCCCTTCATCCTACGTAGCCCCCCCGGCAGGTCCACAGAACCAGGCTTCCAGGGGGCCCTGAACCTCCCCCGGTGCTGGCAGCTGCTGCCCGGCTCCTGGGAGGCCCAGGCCGGCTCCAGGGCGGGGCTCAGGTCAATACAGCGCATGGGTGCGGCGGCGGCGGCAGCGGGCCAGCCCAGGCCGCGTGGGGTCTGCGGTCACGCTGGGCTGGGTGGGGCCGACGCCACGTGGCCGACAGAGGCTGGCGGTTTCTAACCGTACGGCCCTCTTTCCGTCACTCCTGTCGTCAGCTGGATGAGCCCAGCTGGTGCCCACCTCGCGGGCCCTTCCAGAGCAAGGGCTCCAGGGCAGACATGGGCACCCCGCGTGCGGCCATGCAAACGTGGGGCACCCTGCGTGTGGCCAGGGCCCGGACGTGCGTTCAGCAAGGACACAGAAGCAAAGAACACAAGCTACTTGGAGGCCCCTCGGCCAGGCCTCACTAGGAGGGTGCCCTGGGGCCGAGGTCACCTTCGGCTCTGCCAACTGGTGACTCACCAGAAGGAGCCACGGGGGGCTCGTGGCCAGGAGGCCCGAGTGCTGGGCACAGATGCCCAGTCTCCTCTGGTGAGGGGGCCGTGGCCTGCACCCCACGGGCCCCGCCACGTCTGGGAGGCCCAGCTGGCGTCCGGCCGCCTCCGCCAGGCCGCCCCTCCATCCGTGGGGCTCCAGATCCTGGAGCCCCGACTCGGTCCTCCACTCGGCCCCGGAGAAGGGGTCACCGCGAGGGGTCTTGCCCACACGTGAAGGGGCGTGGGGCAGCGAGCAGGTCTTCCTCGCGGCCTATGCCGCAGCCGCCAGCCCTGGAGGGTGAGGACAGCAACGTCACGGCGACAGCTAGTCAGAGAAGCAGCGGGGGCTGGGACAGAGGCCAGGCGGGGGCCAGGGCTGACTACGTCCACCCGGGCAGGGGCCTGGGGCCGCAGCTCCCTCTGGACGCCTAGGCGGGGGGGGCAGGGGCCCGGAGGGGGCGCGATGGGGGCCAAGGTGCTGCCCTGCGCCCCCTCCTGCTCCCGTCCCGGGGCAGGTACCTGCCGCCCCTACCCGAACCTCCAAGCCTCCCAACCAGCCCGCCCGCCTCGCAGGCCAGCGGGGCCCCGAGGGAACGCGGGGCCGGGCCACCCCCTGCTCCTCGGGGAGGGCAGACCCGGCCTGCAGCGGCCTGACACAAGTCTCCGTAAACTGCTCAGCACTCACGTTTATTTATAAAGTTACAGCCTAACAACACCGGACATAAACAGTCCTAAACAAGATCGGTCCTGACACACTCTCGTCCGCCACAAGGCCTCTCTCCGCAGCGGGGACAGATGCCACGGAGGGTTTCCGGAAGCGCTCCAGCCTCAGCAGCGTGGAACCAAGACGCCTGTGCAGGGCTGTTCCCGCCTTTCCCAAGGCCCCGGCTTCAGCCCACGGTCACCTCCCCGCAGGAAGGGGCTCTCCGCCTGGGCCCACAGGCACGTGTGGCCGTCCAGCTCAGGACCGTGAGCCGCAGCGCGGAGTCTGGTGGCACGGTGGGAGGGAGCCTCTCACACCTCCCCAGCGGCCCGAGCTGACACAGGGGGGTCACCGGTTAGGTTTTCATCACCGCCATGAAGGAGGCCTGCAGGAGGAAGGACGGCGAGGTCTGGGCAGGGCTGCCCCCTCCTAGCGGCACCTCCGGGGGCTGGGACTGCAGCCCCCACCTCTCGCTCTGGGCCCAAGGGCCTCTGCCTGGTGGCCCCCACGTTCACACACGGGGCGTGCCTGTGTCCCTGGGCAATAGCCTGGCCTGCAGCCTGGCCTCCGGGAGGAAGCTGGGGTAATTCGGACCCCAGAGCGCCAGGCAGCCCCAAGGCAGAGAACAGGGTAGCCCCCTGCCCCAGGCCCCCACGTACCTCCTGGAGGAGCTGCCCCAGCCTTTCCTGGCTGTGAATGGAGCGCCTGCGGGAGAGAAGACACGTCAGCCCCCCGCCACCACCCCCCCCGCCCCGGCCCGCAGCTCCAGAAACAGCCCTGCTCCCCCCACAGGCTCCCAGGCAAGGAGGCGTCCCAGGGCTCACGGCCCGCGCGCGGCTGCTCTGCGGGGACAGGCCAGCCCGGGGCGGGCGGGGGGAACAGGCAGGTGGACTGGCCCCGGCCCCGAAGCCCCACCTGTCTATTCTGGTGGCGATGGTCACCGTGAAGGCCCCTTCTGTGTCTGGCAGGTAGGTGGAGGGTACAATCCTGTAGGTCCCCGCCGACAGGTGGCAGAGCCGGCTCACCTCCTGGGCGTAGCAGTGTGGCACACAGCTCAGCATGGGGTCCTGGAGCAGCAGCTGGGAGGCGCCCGGGCTCCCGCCATCCGCCGGAACCTGGGGGAGGCGTGGGCTCAGATGGGAGAGGCCTGGCCGCTGGGTCTCCTTCACGGTCTCAGGACCCCACTCCCTTTCCAAGGCTGAGGCGTCCAGGGTCAGGGGGCGCCCGGTGCAGTCCGCCCGGACCTCACGGTGACGCCCCCCACACCACACTCCCTTTTCCAGGGAGGAAGGGCCATCTTGAAGCGGGGCTCCCGGGAATGTGAGCACCAGCGTGAGCAGGCACCGCTCCGTCCCCGTGGAAGCTGGCCTTGCGACCTCTGACCTCTGGCAGCGCACCTGTCCCCCTTCCTCCAACAACAGGCCTATCCTGCGTGCAGCGCAGCACGGGGCGGGCAGCCGGAGGCAGACGGCGGCTCCAGGTGGCGTCCGCGACGCACTGGCCCCGCTCTGGCCTCCAAACGCCTCCTGTGCTCCTGCAGGGCGCGGCCTCCTGCCTGGGAGCCCCCCGGGCAGCTGCACCCGGCGGCGTCTGTCCACCAGGCCCCCGCAGCAGCTTTGTGGCTGGGTGGGCACCCTGCCCGCTCTTCCCTGCGAGCCCATGTCGTCAGCTGCATCACAGCTCTGGGGTGGCTCCTGACGGACCGCCTTTCCCGGGCACGCCGTCAGGTCTCCTGGGCGGGAGGACGGCTCTAGGGACCTGACCTGGGGACACGTGTTCTCAGCCTGGGAGTCTAAGCTGACCTATGACCCCGGTGAATTACAGGCTTCACGAAACCCAGGAACAGATCTTGCACGTGACCGGCCAGCCTGGCTGTGCCCGTGGGACCGAGTCCGGACCTCTCTGTCTCACCGGGCTGCCCGTGTGGACACGGACCCCCATGAAGGCCGCCCTGCACCCACCCACCCCCAGGGGCACAAGGGGCTTGCCTGGAAGACATGGAAGCCGATGGGGTGGCACTCGCTGTCCCGGCAGTGCTGGCGCAGGGTGATCCGGATGCAACGGGGGCCCGTGCCCTCGGGGACCGTGAGGGGGAAGCACGGGTTGCGAGGGTAGGAGGGAAAGTTCCTGCTGCCCCCCGCCGTGTGGCCGGCCCTCCAGGAGCCCCGCAGCCGCACCGTCTCCCACTCCCCCGCGGGCTGGGCCTCCCCGGAGGCGGTGCTCGTGGCGGCCGGCTTGACGGCGCTGAGGGGGGACACACGGGAGGGCCTGGCTGTCATCGGCCGCACACGCACACGGACTGCCAGGAAGCCGCCCGAGCCGCTCCCCCCCCCCCGTCCTCCCCTGAGGCCCTCGAGGGAGCCCCGCCCAGAGCCCCCGCTTGCCGCTCTCACCTGAGGGAGACCCTCCCACTGGAGAAGACCCGGAGCAGAAACTGCCCTGGCACGTCCTTCAGGAAGGTGCTGGGGACGGCCAGGTAGTAGCCGGGGCCGAGCTCACAGCGCAGGTGCACCTCGCGGTCGTAGGCGTGGCACACGGTGCCAGCCACGGGGGGCGTGGACAGGACCCTGGGCAGGCTGACCCGCCGCTTCTCCACCTGCAGAGAGGGGGCCTGTGTGCCGAGGTCCTGTGAGCGGCCCGCCCCCTTCGCCTGGCACAGAGAGAGCGCCCGGACTGTGGGCCCCTCCCAGGCACGGCGGGGCCCGGCTCAAAGTGCCCGCCAACCTGGGGCTCTGTGCCGGTTGTGAGCCTCCACGCCATCCTGCTCTGGGAGGAGCAGAGGCCGATCAAGGCGGGGCTGGGGAGCACCAGCTGGTGTGCGAGCGGGGTGGGCAGGGCCGGCCCGGGCGGAGTTACCTTCCAGATGTGCAGGCCCACAGCTTGGTAGTCCTTGCCCCGGGGGCTGGCAGGGCTCCACGACGCCCCGCCGTCCGGCGCCCGAGCCCGGGCTGCCCGGACCGCGGGGCGCGCCCTGGGCCTCTGCAGGACGGCAACATACAGCTCGCTCGGCTCCGAGACCCGCAGCCAGAACTTGGGGTTGCTGGGAAAGCCGCTGTTGTTCCGACAGCCACCCGCCGACTGCCCCTTGACCCAGGCCCCGGGCAGCTCCTGAGTGTGGCACAGCTCCTTTTCTAGGCGGAGAACCGAGCGCTGGCTCCAGGGAAGGGCGCCCGCACCGCCCGTCCTGCCTCGCGCCATCGCCAGCCAGGGCGCCCACGGGAGGGAGCGCCGCGTCTCCCAGCACCGGCAGCGCCAGGGACGGGGCCCGCGGAAACGTCTCTCCGCACTGAAGGCGGCGGGCTGGGGACGCAGGCGCCCGCTCGGCCCTGACCTCCGAACAAGGCCC